TAGCTCATTGGAATCAGCTCATCAAGACGAATCGAATGGTAGTAAAATCGTATCTTTACGTTCGATAGATGATTTTCTATTAATTTAAATCTTTACTGCATACTATAGAGCGTTCTATCAACTGTAGAAATGCGATTTTACTACCATTCGATCCGTCTTGATGAGCTGATTCCAATGAGCTATAGATCGTCTTGATTGGATCAGTAGATAGCGAGATATTCTTAAATTACTATAATTATTCAAATTTAAGAGCGTAAACTTTTGTAATATTACGTTTTTAGTGTAATATTTCGAAATTTTACACCACCTTCGAAATATTACACTAAATTACGCCTAAACAAATTTCCTGATGAGGACTATGCAAATCCTGAGGTAAATAAAATTTTAGTCATGACAAAAATTTTTTTAACTATATTAATACTTATATATCATGCCGAATTTCTTAACAAACAATTAGAAATTTAGGATAATACAGTTTATAAAGAGTTAGAAGGTGCTTTGCTAAGATAGAATTACTTTAAAAAATGGCATATATTTAGGTGATGGAAGCATGGATGTAAAGTTTATGATAAATGCAAAAGGTGTAAAAAAGTTGCAGAAGGAATATACTGTATAAGCAGGATCCAGACAATTATAATTAAGGTCATATTATTTTCTATGCTAAAAATTTACCCTTGTCATCTTGAACCTACTTTTAAAGCTTAGATACAAAACTTTGTAATAACAATTGCCTTCCTATTATCTATAATTTTGTTACTTAAAAAGTAATATTTAATAATAGCAATTTTTATTTTTTTGTATATTTCTATGTATACTGATAGTGAAAAAGCATATATTTTTTTGCCAAATTTTGCCTGTGTAATGATACTTATCTCAAATTCTAATCAGTAGATTTGCAAGATTTTGGTATCAAAAGATTCTTCTCTTCAAAAGAAACATTTTTTTCTATAGTAAAAAATAACATTAACTTAATAAAATTACATGTTAAAAGAAAAATAAAGTTTAAAACATAGTAAGATATGACCTCAATTATAATTATCTGGAGTTCTGTATAAGCAATGTGAATGTTCTTAGATAACTTGATCAATAAAGCAATGGCACAAATTTGCCAGACATTTATAATTTTTTTTTTGCATGGAGTGAGGTTGTGAAGTAAAGTATGCTATTATTTTTTTAATCAATCTTTATTGTAACTTGATACAGTAATTGTCCGGAGTGTAGCGAAGGACTATATAATTTTATGAAGGTTGATGACAATTAGTGTCACGTGGCTATTTCCGGTTGTCTGCACGTGTCATTTCTGATTGGTCCGCACAGAATGTGTATTGAAATTTCATGCTACATCAAAAATAAACAAGTAAAAAAGTTTATGATTACCTTTTTTTTTAGATTTCGGCTAGTAAATATATTTTTCTTTTAAACGACTTTCTTATTTTTTTCCTAGGGTTTCTGGATTTCTTGTACATACCGGACTGGTGAGTTATTTTTTATTTGTTTTGCTTTAAAGAAACGTTTTTAGCGTTTCATTTTTATTTTCTTTTATCTAGGAACACAGGTTTTTTGTACATGCCGGACTTTTAAAGGTAAATTGTGAGGGCTTTTCTTACTTGTTTAACCTTAAAGAAATGTTTCTAACGTTTCATTTTTCATTTTTATTTTTTTAGGGATGCCAGATTTTTTGTACAAATTAAATTTTTAAAGATATTTGGATTTTTGTACAAATCTTTCGCTTCAGACTTACAACGGTTTCCGTTTCCTAGTATTATACATATATTACAGGAGCAAGTAATAATTTATTCTTAAACTTTCTTGCACATTCTCAAAATTATGTATAGCCCTTTAATGATCTTTATATATGGATAGCGTTAAATTCTTTATTGTTAAATTAAGAGGATGCCGTTGATTAGATTTTTATGATACGTAATTTTTCTCCAAGTGTATTCCAAGATCGATTCTGCGAATATAAGCAAGAATTAAGGAAAAATCAAACAAAAATTCTAATAATATTAATAAATTTAAAACTGCTATTATTTGCATCATTAATATTTACAATCAAACGAACCTGTATATTCTGCAAAGTAAATAATTAAGTAAATTAGTTTGTTACTCAGCTAGCTTCTTGAAACATGTCATCATAATGTTAATCAATTTTCCTGCCTCTATAGATGTTCCAAAATAAAACGGACATATTATTCTTCTTGACATATATTGGCATTTTGATTTTTGCCAATAAAATCGTGATTGCCAGCAATCCGGTACATGTCAAATCACCGTATCAAACATCTGGCGCAGTAAATCAAATAACTCTCTGTGTCATGATTTACGTAAAACTATTAAGCAACAATTTTTTCAAATATTTGATGGACTGGAATATTACAAATAAAATATAATGGTAAGAAGGAAATAAATGGATTATTAATGTACTGTCTATTTTTTATCAAAAATTCTGAAAAATACTTAATTATTTTCCAGTACTATAGGTAGTGTTGATACATTGGCCGTTTGGCCAGAGTTGGCCATTGGTCATTTGGCCATTTAGTCATAACCAAAATGGCCAAAAAATTTTGGTTTGGCCAAATGCCAATACTGCTATAGGTTCGAAATTAATTCATCACAGAATAGTTTTCTTGCAGAACTTAACTTTTTACATGATCTATGTGAACAGAAGTGAAAAGGATGATATGGATATGCAAAAATATTATATGTATAGTTGAAATAGGTTGAAGTGTAAGAAACTTATAAATAGCGATATTAGCGATAGAAATAAATTAGTTATAGAGAGAGTAAAGAAATAACTTGATGCTGGAACTCGTATTAAATGGCCTAAGATCTGCGTATTTCCTTCCTCTTTGATAGTATTAATGTATTATACATTTCATCTGCTTTTCTAGTACTTTCTATTTCGTTATGTAAAATAATAAATTTCATCTACGATTAGCTTGTAAGTCCAGAACTGAAAATGCACAGATAAAAAAAATACAGTCTAACCTCGATATACTGATATTTGATATACCAATATATTATTAAAAACTTGATATACCGATAAAATTTTATTTCCCACTATATGTGAGGACATATAAATATCAGTATAACTTTGATATAACGATATTTTCTAAAAATTTTATATATGTCCTGACATATCGTTTTATAAAGGTTTGACTGCATTCATAACTCTTAAAATTGCATAATGTTTCATTTCAAATGGATAATAATCTCTTAATCTTACTAGAGAAAAAAATATGTTACAAACACTAACAGAGGCATGATCACCAAGAGATAACTTGAATATCCACTGACTCGTAACTTCACTGCCAATACCTGGCCGCATAAAGTCATGATATCTCTTACGTATTTAAAGATACAAAAGAAGCACTTCACCAGGCCTCTGCTTACTTATAAGATAGGTCACCCCCAGGCCTAAGTTAAAAATCATATATAAAATTCTTTGCAGATCCTACTATAAAAGGAAATTTTATGTTACATTGTTATGATTTTTTTCCTTTTTAGCTAATTAATCAATAGAATTTAAGAAAAAAGTAAGGTAAAAACTATTAGTAAAGGGCTAATTTTTTATGGTGACTTCCTGTGATAAATAAAAAAATTTTTAATTTATATGGGGTATTCATGTACGTATCACATGACTTTATTAAAAGTTATGTAAAAAAAAAAAAATTTTAATAAATATAATTTTAAAAGAAATATACAATATATGTATTTTTGTCTATTTTGCAAGTTTACTTAAAGCATTAAAGTTGATTTTGAATGTCAATTTTAATTTATTTAACAAATTCTTTTTTTTCCTATTTTTGTTAAATTTAATTCTGTCCAACATTAAATGATCAGTATAGAAATTTTACTTTTTGGAAACCGTGTTTGAACACCTCATATACAAATAGAATCACCTAAATTTAATACTAAAAGAATTTTTAGTAATATTAATTATTTGAATCTGCAATTTAATAAAGTTACTGATTATTTGATTCTACTTTATAATAAGCTTTTAGAATTTTATTAATATTGTACCAAATTGAAAAGTAATAAAAATATCAACTGGAAAATGTTTAATATACCATAATTATAGTTCTTTTCATAATATTTGTAAGCATAATTATGCAGCAAAATTTTATTAACAATCACAAATAAATAATTTATCATATCAACAACAAGTAAAAGCAGATTAGTAAATTATTTCAAAAATAAGTATAGAATACTTCTGGAAAAAATGAATTAATTTACAATGGCAATGTAGAAACAGCATTTGAAGAGTAATAAATATATTTGAGATTCAAGGTAAATTGCTTCTTAGTTATTTCTTAATAGTAAAATTACTTTATTATTGTAAAAAGGTGGAGTAATCTTTCAAGCTGATAGAATATAATCAGATATTAATAATGATTCTTTATGTCAAAAACAAGCTTTGGAGCACCACCTAAACCTATAGCAAAGCCATGAAACCCTTCAAGAATTCTTCAAGCAGTCCAACAAAATTCTTAATTTGCACCTGAAAAACGAATAAGAAAAAATATTTAAGTTGCTAAAGTATAATTTAGTAAATATTATTTATTTATTGTAATTACTGCTAATTTACATTGATTTAGGAACAAACTAAAGAACAGCATATTAATCCTACCGAATATTATCAAATGAAATTTATTCTAATATGATAGATTTTCTCATGCAAGGATTGCAAAATCTTCTTACATTATCATTTACTCGAATCTCAGTATATATTCGAATTTCATGACAGATTCGAAACTCAAAATTCTATATTCAAATACCCAAATTTACATGATTCATAAACGAACATTCAAAATCCTAATTTCAAACGGAAGAGTCGGTAATAAAAAACTATATATTAGATATTAAACCTTTATTGATTAATGTTAATATACATATATATTTATATATATTTATTTATTTTCTAAACTATTAAATTAAATATCATGAGTTTATAAATTATGCAATATAAACTCTAAATAATCCATAGCCATAATATACACTCAAGTTAATCTTCTTCGTTCCCTTGAATTTTCTTTTTTAATAATTTGAAATACTTCATAATCAATTACTTTAAAATTACCTATAATAATATTATATTCATAAAAACTAGTAGTATTAAAAAAACTGGAAATATTCTTATTACAATGACTAGAAATTAGTAAATCAGGTGCGCCAAAATTCACTGTACACGATGCCTCTTGAAAAATAGCTTTAGAAGCATAATAAGGTAGAACTCTACTAATTTTAGCATTATTTAAATCTTTATTTTCAATGCTGAAAAGAAAAGCATCGGGTGCTGCAGAATATTGTCCACCAGAATCAAACCAACCTATAGGATTATATCCTCCAACTAAACGTTCATTTTTCCCAGCAATTTTTGCAACAATTATACAAGCACCTTGATCATTACATCTTCGATGAAAAGCCATAGCATCATAACTATCTCTACTTGCTCTATATAATAATTTCCAATTATATGATAATGGTTTATTCGTATTATTTGTTGTCAGTCTATCACCTTTTTTAATCCATGTTTCTAAAAGTAAGCAACAATCATTTGTTATTAATAATGAATCAACATCTAAATGAGGTCCAGATCTTGAAGGTAGTAAAAGGGATTTCGGTTGGTAATCTGACGACATAAAATATGCTACTATATCCTGTTTTAATTGTTTGTTTAAAATCTTTTTATAAGGAAAAACATTTTTATAAATATCATCCGAAGACATTTGAAAATATCTAATTAATGGGAGGCAATCATGTAAAGTTTTTTCTAAAGCATTAAATTCCGTTATAGTCCAATTTGATAATTCAGAAAATTTCACATTAGAAAGAAGAGGTGTATGAGCAACTCCCCATTTAATTAAATGTTGCCAAATTTTAACTTCTTCAATTCCCAGATCATCCCTTTTCAATAATTCTACAAGAATATGTTTTTCCAATGTAACAAAATTTGATGAATCAAATAATATTTCGGGATTATTACATACTCTTTCCACACTATAATCTCGTAATTTTTTAAATATTGTTACATCATGTCCAAATACAATATGAAGTACTTGAACTATATTTTGTTGAATTTGTGTATATTCATGTTCAATAAGATATTCTTGAATTTGATCTTTTAACTCATCAAGAATTAATTCATCCGCTGCTATTAATAAGTCAAATATCTCTCTTAATTCTTGTTCATGAAAATTGATCACTCCAGTATATAAATATCTTTTTTTGAAAAAAGAAATATTATATTTTTATTTCTTTGTTTTTTTTTTTTAAAAAAAAAAATTATTTATTTATTTATTTATTTTTTTTTACGAAAAAAAAAATCATCACTTACTTTAAGATAAATTGAAAGACTTTTGGAGAAATATTAGGTTTTTTAAAAATAATTTTACCATCATGTTGTTTAATAGTCCAATGATTATTTAAAGCAGATTTAAAATAAGAGGATCTCGTACTTAATATTAAAGAATGAGCTTTAAACTCTTTTTTATTTTCTTCTCCTCCTACATGTATAACCATATCATAATTTTCTTCTTTTTCTAATAATTGTCCTAAGTCTTCCGACAATCTATCAAATAGTTTCATTGAAGTCATATTGTATGACTGACTTTCTTTCACGAAGATATACAGTAATATGTATATTTCTCAAATTTCTCAAACAGTTTTCTTTTTTCTAAAAGGAACTCCCCTATTTACACTTACAATTGTTACACAAGCAGTATGGACTGGCATGCAAATAGTGTGCATACAATGTTTATCTAACATGAAAGATCTAATTGCAGATCCTTTTTTATTAGTTATATTTTATCCCCTAAATTTTGACAGGAGTACCAGAAAGAAAAATTCTCTCATATTTCAATTACTAAAAGCTCTATCGTCTCAATAATATATAATTAAAATGGTATCTATAAATAAAATTTAAAAAATTCTATAAAAGCTTTAAAAAAATATTAGAATTGATTTTTATTTCTCCTTAATGTCTATCCAAAGTCCACCACAAACACATGATCTAGTATAACCTTTTGCCCATCGCGTATTTTGTACGTCAAGTGCCGCCGAATAATAACCACATCTATAAATAACAATTATAAAAAAAATAAGTAAAAAAAAAATTTTTTATGATATAATAATATATTTTATTCTTATTACCTTGCACATATACGATCTTTAATCGTACGTGACTTTAAAATTATATCAACAGATTCAGAATAGATCCATTTAGTATCATAAATATAAAATTTAATGTCGTTCTCGGAGGTGAAACGATTTTTAAATATTTCCTTTAATTCCGGCAGAGTTTCACTCAATGCTTTTGGAACTTTAGAAGTAAAAATTATTTCATATTTAGCCCATTGCGGATTATTTTTATCTAAAAGAAAAAAAAATTGATTTACTATGAAAATAATGTAAGTTCTATCTATGTTAAAGAAGAATCTTTATTACCTTTCATCCATTTATCAGTTACTTTATCAGTTATTATACCAGTATCTTTTATAAATAACTCTAGAGATTCTAATTTAAGTGGCCAGGAATCAAATAAATATTGAAGGGTCCCATTCATTTCTTGAATATTACTAATATGAGGACTACTTGCTGCTAGTGAATTAACATTATCTTTAAATTTCTTAACAAGAGACAACAAATTTTTAAAAGCTGTCCGACTTGTCGAATTATAGAGAAGAACTATGTGAGATTTTTCGGATACTAAAATAATAACAATTTTTTTTAGTTATTATACTAAACAAATAAACCACATGTAAATTACGTTAAGTCTTACATAAAGCATCTCCTTGTGTTACTAAAGAATAGATATTTTGAACAAAATAAACGGAAAAGTCAATAATCCATGACGTGAGAGACACAAGCGACTTAAGGGAATCTACAAACAAAAAATAACAGTTTACTACTAGTTTGTTATGTCGTAAGTTATTCATATTAAAACAATAAGTTAAATATACCTAAAGAAAAAGTACCGTCAGAAGAAACGTTGTTTTGAAATATTGCCTCTAAAGCACGCAAATGCAGAAAGTATAATGTATTCAGATAATTAATATTATCCCGTTGACAAGATTTTAATAATGAAAGTTGTATTCCAAGTAGCCTGCTTAGAAAATCTGAAGATGCTGATGTTTCCAATCCATCTGAAAAGACGCTCGATATATTTGTAAATGTTTCCTTAAGAGTATGCTCCAATAAATCTAAAAAGAATACGTTGAACTAATACTTAAATAAATGTGTATTTATCATTAATTATTATCAAATTGAGTATATATACCTTTCCCCATACCCACTCCCTCAAGAGTATTGGCATATTTTTTTATGATATTCTCTAAATCTGTATGATCGATATTATTTAATATCGACAATGTAAGCTTATTTGCACTAGATGAAGCAGCACAAATACCATCTTTTTTTTAATATAAAAAGTAATAATAATAATAATAATAACAGTAAGATTATTAAAGAGATCCATAAAGTATAAAATGAAAAATTACTAATATACAACTTACCTAACAACCCAAAATTTGAAAACACGTCTTTATCGGCTATATCCAAACAGTCAAGTTTACCAGACGCCCGTCTGCAAAGAAATAACGTCCCATTCGGTGAAGTTGCAAATTCAATGATTGCTGATGTAATTGAAAAAATCAATTCAATGGCAACTTAAGAAAAATTTATTTGACATAAACTCACCATCTGCACGGGTCGAAAGTTCTTCGTGACCACAATTCGAAGGGACCCAGGTACTATATTTGGGAAAATTGCAATCTTTAAAATGTTTAAGTCCAATTTGTTCCTGTGAAAGGACTTGTAAAGTGTTGCTAAAAAAAATTAATGATTTATTAAATAACAATCTCATCGTACAATAGAAATTATAACTTGTTTAACAGTACGAATGATATTCTTACCAGTTACGAAACTGAACTTGGCCGTCGCTGAGACCAAGGAAGAGTTCATCATCTTGTATCCAAATATTCGTTACAAGCTTTTGATCCAAATGCTCACTAGCAACAAGATGAATACTCTAAGGAAAAAAAAAATAAGACTAGTATGTTGATGTGAGATTTAACTGGAAGATTTAGCAATTAGACATACTGGTAGAGGCATATCGATTTCCATTGCATTTTCTGTCAATGAGTCAAGTGGTTGTGGTGTGATTTTATCGATTTCCCATGTGGCAATACTGCTATTGAAAACATTATTTCCTAAATTACAAATATAATATGATCAAATCGATTAAATTATGTCATTAGAAAAAAAAATTTTTTTTTTCTTGTAAAAAAACAATATTAACCTTTTTTCTCGGCTGTTACTATTATAAGTCGAACTCCGTGAGATTGTGTATTTGATATTAATTTCAAATGCAATACTGGAGATCGCTCAACGGATAAAGAAGGATTGGTAAGATGAACATTAGCAATTGGTCGACAACTGACTTGTAGTGAGAGCATATTAATTTTGATTTCATAAAACATGACAAGTTTCGGTAGAAATTCAGGACAGTATGTAGCTAAGGTATAATTTCCGTCTTGATTTTTTTTTTGAAAGAAATTCCTTATAAGTTTTTTTTCGGGTTTTTTAAAAATCCACGTATTGATTACATTGATAAATAATTACCACTATTCAATATAATATCAACATGTGATATTCGTTTTGAAGGATAACGTAAATGCGTGATAATTTTTGAGAAAAATTTCTTCCCTCTCTGATACCAAACTGCTACCTGTATTAAAATCAAATTATAAAAAAAGAACTCATTTTATAACTCATTTTGAAATTGAATAGCAAATCTTACTTTTCCATCGGTCGTGACAGTTATAAAAGCGAATTCGCCAAATTGGTTTCGTGGTCCTTTAAATGAGCCCCTCTTATAAATTGCGGAACTTTTGCCATAGCCCGATGACTGAGGAACATGTTCTCGCGAATACTTAAAAGATAAGGTCGTGTGATGAGTAAATGACAGTCATAAAATACTATCAATTATAATTAATAAACTAACCAGGCGTGCACTATCTAGCCATGTAAATTCAATCACACTTTCCCCAAGATTGACATTACAAATACACTTCCACTGGTTTATAAAATTATTCATGGTCCATATTGCTATTTTACCTCTCTGATCTATGGATGCTAGTGCAGAACCTGTCTGATTCCATACTAAATCTGTAATAACATCACCGAATCTATGATAGTTTTCTACACGATCAAAAAGAGATAAATACTCTTTATTTATAAAAGACCAAGCGGGGCCATTGGCATCGATACCTCTACATGGACTATATATTCCAACATTTGGACAGTAGCGAGAGAATTTAGTATCTAAATTATCATTAGGGTGTGGTGACCATGCTATTATATTCTGTGTTGACCATGCGATTCGTCTTTTCAAAAGTTAAATAAAAACTATAATATTAGATTGAATTTTATTTATTGAACAAGAAATCTAAGAATTATTTCTCTAATTTTACTTGGGCAACTAAATTGTGAATAAAATATTATTAGACTACAAACCTGGGTGCTTTGCGGTAGCATAACTCATAGTATAAACGTTCTATATCAGTGTCAGTATGTGACCAAAGAGTAGAGGTCGTAGAAGTTGTGTTCAACGTTGTCATAATTCTTTGAGAACGCGAATTAATTGATAAACGAAAACTGATTGAAAGTATGCGAATTAAAAAAATTTTGAAAATTGAAGTTCAAGAGTTCAACAGTGCTACATTTCCGAAATTTGGTGTCACCTTGATTATCACGTGAAAGCTATACAGTATTTCTGAATACATACAGCGAATAATGGATTTGTCTTGCGATTTTGAAAGAACCAATGAAGAAGTCAATAAACTTTGATTATTATGATAAATTATTCTTTTATTCACAACTGCCACGATTGATGCTTTATACAATTTATATCATCGAAATATTTTTAAATACAACAAAGATCTGATTTATTGTAAATAAAATAAAACAAAAGAACGAATTTATTTATTATTTATGTAACACATTTACTTGGTTAAAGAATCTAATAGATTTTGGGTAAAGTTCATCGGCGAAAGAAATTAAACATTCTAAATGAGGTCAATAAGTAAAAATTGTAATTGAGTGCTTGATTTTAAAATATGCAAGGTACATAGGACAATAAAGTAATTGACTCAATGCGATATTGCCAAATACATAAAGTTAACTACGTATTTTAACTCAAGAAGTTTAAAGTTATGTGGATTTATTATGAAACTCCTTATATTAAAGTTTCAATGATTCTAAATTCCCATGATTACACCTTAAAATTTGCATTGTTAACCACAAACGAATATCAACAATGAATCCTACCAAAAGGAAAAAAAAATTTCTTGAAGAGATCTGAGGAGAAATTATTTATAGTATTGCATAAAAGAAATTTCCATAAATGAATTTCATTACAAAGGCAGTAACGAAGAAAATTCAATATTTTTAAAATGCAGGGATCGTGCAGATAAAGTGTTAACAATAATCATTCGTTTAATCGTTTAATTAATGTCTGAATCGAAACTCGATTTAAACGTACCTAGCCCCTGGCTTTTTCTTTTTATAAATTAGACACTTAGGCACTCCCCAAAGCAAAAGCTGTTATAAAGTTAAGAAAATTAAGCAACCATCTTGCCTTAACTTTTTTTTTTTTTCGGAAACGTATGGTTTCCTATCACACTCCTTTAAATTTTTATTTACTTTAAAATCTTTTCATTGTTTTCTAGCTCAAGCAGAATTTAAGTAATAAATTCATGCATAGATCACGGAGAACGCGACTTTTTTCGCAAAGCAATACCTCCCGCAGGACGGGTCCATGGGAACCTGAGGTTGTCTAAATAAATATATATATGTTGAAATTAATAAAGTTAGCTAAAACATTTGTTTCAAAATACGGGACTTATATTTATTGTAGGAAGATGAACGATTACTGACGCTAGTATCAGAGTTAGGTACTAAACATTGGAAATTGATTGGAATCAGACACGGTTTGAGAGACGGAAAGCAATGTCGAGAACGGTAATTTTGTTTAAAAATTAATATATATTTCCTTAGCCGTATTAATCCATACAACTTTACCTTTTGGCGTTAAATCAATAGCTGGCATAATCATCTCAACCCAGATTGTAAGAGTCTAATTTATCAAATATATATACCTAATCTGTGACTCAGCTATTGTATATATTTTTTTTTTTAACCAAATAAAATTTAGTAATTTATAGTCCCTTAACTCCTGAAGAGGACGAACAAATATTAACCTACCACTCTGAAATGGGAACAAAATGGGCCGTAATGAGCCAATTATTACGACGGCCTGCTAATCTGATTAAAAATCGGTATTATTCTTCATTATCTAAAAAACGTGATCGATCAACTTCAGATTCTCCGGAAGATGATTCATGTTCAAGATCAAGAAAGCGTATTAAGGAAATTCACACTGCTACTTCTAATTTTGAAAAACAAGGCAAGTAATTTTCATTTTTTACATCAAAATAATTATATTAACTTTTGCATTATTTTATATACAGAATATAAAAAGTCGAGTAAAGAACTATTAAATAATAATAAAATCTCTCGGACTTTGAACAATCAAACGAACTATCATAAAGAATATCTTGATTTACCAAAAGCTTCGGCTTGGAGTCCTTGTTCTGATGATTCAGCTTATTTTGAACCTTCAATGACTCAAGAACCAGTTTCCCTACTGACACCAGTATATACACCTGTAACTTCTCCCGGACCATCTTTTTGTACGGCACTAGAACAACTCGCTGATTTAGCAATTAAAAGAATTGAAAAAACTAGGTGAGAAAAAAATAGAAAAAATTATATACAAAATAAAGAAAATATCGTAATTTATTTAATACAATATTATTGAATTAGTCGTAATGATACGAAAAAACACGATATCATGTCGATTTCAGCTGTATTGAATTGAAGAGAAAATTTCGAAATTCTTGTATAACAGTATGTATTTTTCCGAACTGGTTTCGGCTTTTCAAAATAAAAAGAAATAGTTTGCAATGGTTACAGTTGGATTTACAAGTCTGAAGCGTAAATAAGAATATGGAAGTATTTATTATGAATTCTGCAGAACATTTTGAAATTTAATTTAATTAGGCAAATGTTTTTTGGTTGACCTTTAATTAAATTTTGAATTTCACTCGAATTTGTGAGATGGATTTGATATAATATATAATTTATATAATGAATATGGTGAATTGAGTCATTTGCGTATATATAAAATACCAAATAAATTATATGATATCCACTTGACTTATAAATTTGCGCCACATGAAATTTGATATTTTGGTAGAATTCGATTAGTCCATTTTATTTATGTTTAATTTAAACCGACTTTTTCTTGATCTTTTGCAGACTTTTACACAATAAAAGTTCGAAATAGTCTTTATATATACTGTATATATATATATTGCACAAAGACGTATACACTGCTTTATCATATAGGACGTTATTTAACCATTGAATCAACCACACCAATAGTAACAAAAAAAAAAAGACGAAATAAATTAAGTTTAATGAAAAAGTATGAACGAGATAAATAATTAATATTTTTATTTGCGGTTTTTTTTAAAAAAAAATCTCTTTTTTTTTTGACTTTTTTAAAAAAAATCTAAAAAAAAAAGAAAATTTTTTTTTTTTTTTCTTAAAAAAAATCATATATTGTTTTGTTGGTGAATGATTGTGTTTGTGTTTTTACAATTGTAGTACGAATGATATCTAGTATATAAAATGAATTGTAATAAAATGAAATTTTGTAACGAAATGAAATAAGAAAAGCTTGTGTAATGAAGCAGATAAAAAAATTAAAATGAAGAATGGGAATGAATAAATAAAAGATTTTGCCGAAAAAAATTAATAAGATTTTGCCGAAAATGCGAAAAATGAATATAAGTTTGTCGAAAGATGAATTAAAAACGATTTTTGCCGAAAATGCGATTTTTTTGCCAAATAAAAAAAAAATAAGATTTTGCCGATTACGAAAAAGTGTAAATATGAATAACGAAATAAAAAGAAAGCGAAAAAGAAAAATCTAGATCAATCGATCTGTAATAAAGTACAAAAATAATAAAAAAAAAAGATATATAAAAATAAAAAAAATAAATGTACAAAGATATACGAAAAAGATAATTGTCCTCTAGTAAGTAAATAATACATTATTTTTACATTTTTAAATTGTTTTTTGTAAATATATATAAAGATTTTGGTTTTTTTTTTGTTTGTTAAGTTCTATAATCTGCTTCATTTCATTAGCCTGTAACTTCAATATGTCTTGGAACAAAAGAATGATGTTCAAATCTTTTCATTCTTTTCATGCTTCTCTCATTCTTTTTGACATTAACTTGAACAACATTTCTTAAATTTGTTATGAAGCCGGTATCTTCATCAACTAATTGTACTAATTCGACCATATGTAATACTTCTTTTGTTGATATAAAATGTAATGTCACAGTTTCACTGCTATATGGATTGATTGGACTAAATGTAAAAAAAATAATATATTTTTAGTAAAAAAAAAATTTACTAAAGAAAAAAGAAACTAACAGTAGAAAGATATTAAACTTACCCAATCCTAACATCATTATCTAACCAAATTAAACCTGTATCAGAAGTTACTAATTCTGAATGGTTTCTCATAAATACTGTTTCATCCATGAATGGATCCAAGGATTGTTTAACATATTCATAATTATCATTATATTCAACTAAAGTAATATCCGACGATTGGCTTAAAGATGGCTTATGTGACAATTTATGATTATTAAATAATCTGTCATTAGATCTCTTTTTTGGAATCGTTATAGCAAATCTTCTAGCGTGTTCTGATTTATTTGCTATAAATACTTTCATAGTAAATACTTTACCAACAACAGGTTTGCCACAAACTAAAATAAAATGAAAAATAATTTAATATATTTATAGAAAAAAATTTTTTTTTCCATTCTAATCTTTCCTGATTACTCACCTTCAAAAGAGGCGAAAACACCATCATTTAAATCTGAATTCGTTTGTTTTTGTAATTTTGGTAATCTCCCATAAGGCAAAATTCCATTATTTTCATCGTCAACATTCAATAAATTGGTTTCAGGTATATATCCGCTGTGGTGTTTTTTATTAGAAACATTAACCCCATTAACATTTATTTCCAATTCAACATCAGATGAATTATTTCCACATTTAATGTTGTCATAATTTTTAACATTATTTGAACTGAATGAATCACGGATTGTTGTTGCCTTATCAATCGTATTAGTCCTTTCACCAATTCCAAAGTTAAATTTATTATTATACATCATTGGAACAAATTTATTACTTTCTGTTTCTCTCGATTGAGACGATGCCATTGAATCATCATTAAATAAAGTTGATGTATCTAATTCGCAGTCCCATTTTGATTCAATACAACGTGATTTAACTCCATCGATAACTGGACTTCCTTTTACAATGACTGATAGAGTTCGATGTTTATTTTCAACTGGAGATGTATTTAATGCGGAATTAATTGATGCAACTGATTCTCTTCTTGAGGAAACCCTTGAATTTGGGATTGGTGTTGGATAATATTGTTGTGTGTTCAAAGGCTCGGGGAATGAAGAATCTTCTAATATCGTTACATTATATAAGAAATTTACTTGGTCAAATGGTCGTAACGTGATTGGAAATTTGTCCTAAAAAAAAAAAATTTCGCTTTAATATCACTATTGCACACTTTGTTGTAAATAGTCACGTGAACAATATAACTTACAGTATCTTGAGGGCCCCAAGCACATCCTGCAACAAATCCGTGAGAAATTTCAACTTTTAAATCTTCAATAGAGAATGTCATATCATTTTCTGTATCATTTTCTAATTCAACAGACATCATTACGGTATTTTCTGATGGAGATACAAATGTAGATCTTATACGAGTGTTTAATGTTGGCCTTACAGAAATTATCTTATGATGACATCTTTTAATAGGAGTTGAAGGTAAAGTTGAATAGATGCTTGTTTTTTCTTTTTTTGTTAATTGGGGAGTCGGGATTGAAAAATTCAACGATTCAAATGCTGGATCTATCAAATTATTAAGAAAAGTTTAGATTATATTTGTTTTTTAACAACTAAACTTGAAATTAATTACGTCGAATTATAAAAATTACCATCACATAAGCCTCCAAGCAAATTCATTCCAAAATATTCTGGAGAATATAAATCAGAGTTGGGTGAATTCATAATTTTTCGTCGAGATTGTGTAACGGTAACGTCTAATGCGATTTGATTTTGTGCACGTGCTCTTATATTCTCTAAAAAAAAAAAACCAAAAAAACCAAAAAAAGGAAATTTTTAATCACTTATTACCATTTTCATTCAAATTCACCATTTATTACTTACCAATGGGAAATAATAATTGTAAAACGCAAGTCCAACAATCATCTCTTTTGACAACTACCATTTTATTATTACTTTTAGAATCGTAATTAGTGGAATAAATAACAGTTCCTTCAATAACTTTGCTTGATAATTTTTTAATGCTACTATAATCACTATTGGGAGAACCATGAGTGAAAATTGACGTAGAGTTCGAACTAATACTTGTACTACTACTAAATATTCCACTATCAGAGGATGCTGTTGAACTTGATGATGAAGTACGACTTAATTCCGATGTATAATTACTTGATGGTACCGTTAAATTCAATAGATTTGGTGTATCTATTAATGTCGCTTGTAATTTAACTTCGAGGTTTCTAAAAAATTCCGTTGCTTCTTCTTTATTTTCGAAATTTGATTCAGGTGGAAGTGTTGTCATCAAATAAACGTGAAGTAATTCATCTATATAATAATATAATAAGTATAAATTCAATATGTATGGTATATAAAAAAGGAAAGATGTATTAGATGATCTTTTAATAAATAAATTTCTTCTTTTTGCTTTGAAAATTAAAATTTATTATTACCGTAATAGACTTGACTCCTTTGTTGACCATCAATAATTTTTTCAATATTTTCTTCATTAAAATCTAAAGTACCATTTGGAACGACGATTTCCAACTCGGCATCATGTATATACGTTTCTTTTAAATACATGATAATTATTACAAAAAAAAAAAATTTTTATTTTAAAAATAAATGCTTATTATTTTATTATTAAGAGATTAAGTGCGCGTATAATAATTGCAAGATTATTTTTTTTTTTGCCAAGTGAAAAAGTGTTGAATTCTGTGAACTATTTATAAAAAAATCAATATTCTAGAAATTTGGCACACATATATTCTATTATAAAAAATATATATGTCTAATGTCTATATCAATTTTAATAATTTAGAAAGTCATACGTTTCACGATTCACGGATCAAGTTGTTATATAAATTTTATTATACAATAAGTAAAAGAAATACAGAAAATAGCGGGAATACATAGAATAGTTTGTTTATTAATATTTTTTAAAGTATAGATAATCGTGAAACTTTAATTAGAATTCCGTCAATTCCGTCGCTGCAGTCTATTAAATTACATGTATTTTTACGTAAAGCCGAAAAATATTAATGTGATGTACAGTACATATGGTGGCACAGTAGCTTATTACTTGTTCTTGCAAACAAAAAAAAAAATAAAAAAAAAATAAAAGATTATATGTTTGTTATCTCCCTATTGAAGTTCCACTTATATTCTTCTTCACAATATTATTCTACCTAATACATGAAAAAATATTGCAACATTCTTTGTTATCTTCTTTTGTGATTCTAATTACAAATATTTCGTAGATTACATTCATAAAGAATCCTTGTTAAACAGAAGACTTCCATATGTTATGTTTCGTTTAGATATTAATTTCCATTAAAAGTATTTTCTTTGATATGTTCGCCATTTAGTCAAACTTTAAAGATGGCTTCAGATTGTGTCGTTTATTATAATATCCGAATTTAGCCTTTTAGTGGAAAATCTTTATTTATGCGGGTAATTCTTATTAAGGTTAATTCTTTATGTAAAATGTAAATTTTAAAATTCAAAAAAATCCAAAGTGATATTCGGATTGGCTGAATCTATAAATATTTCACTCTCCTTAATCCTGATATATTTTCTTATTGAATATTCCCAAATTATTATAATCATTTTCCGAAACTAGAACATAAATTACACCATCTTGCACTTCAATTATCCAAAATTGTTAAAGCTCGAGAGATTTTGTGTCACGTTACTAATTCTATTTATTGCTGGTTGTTCTGTCGCTTTTTTCTATAAACGAAAAATTTGTCATATCGGCTGATCAGAAAAGCCTCCCATAATTTTATATGCTAAATGACAATAAGTAACCCATCAGTTATATAATGAACCATCAACTGAGCTTAAATATTAATTGGCGTGATTTTTCCAATCAGCCGATATGTTATACATGGGCCACAGAAATAATGGAAATCACATGAGAGTTATTATGGCGTTCGCAAAATCCGGATTTCGGAAGTGGCTGATATTTACTCTTCTACAAACATCATAAGGTAACATAATAACATAATTGGGATAGATAAAAAAAGAAAAAAAAATTTTAAATAGATTATTAATTATGATAAAAAAAGATTTATTGTACGATATATTAATACGATCGTGTTCCTTTAATTCCTGTATAACAAAGACCGACAAAAGTTCTTTTTTTTGAAATTGCCGAAATTAATATAACCATATACAGAAATACATTATCACTGGTATTATGGCGTTATCTTACGACGATAACTCTATAACGAAATAGAATCACAATAATCACGTGACTCTACGTTACGACATTTTACGTAGAATTGTTATTATTGTTGCTGTTAGTAGATTGTGAAGGTTGTCTAAATCCAACAGAAGGATTGTAAGGTAATGGTAGTGGAGGAGGTCTCATACCAGCAGGCGGTAAAGGTCTCATTGGAGGCAATGCAACATTAACAGGAGTGTGTGTTTGCAAATTTTGCCTTTGAAAAAAATAAAAAAGGAGAAAGAGAAAGAATTGTTAACAAGTTATTAAAACTCTAAGAATACAATCTACTTATAAATCAGATTTTTCTTACTTGTTAAGTCTAGCTTTTTGAATTTTAAAATGTTGAGATAAAACTTCAGACATGATTCGATTATAATAAGTATAATCATTAGGATTTGCCAAAACATCTTTAAATCCTTTAGAATTACACACTTCTTCAAAATTTTCAGCCATAAAAGAGAGAATAGGTTCTTTTAAATCTTCATATTTAGGTACTAAACGAAACATGATTTCTGCTACATTATTTACAGTTAATTCTTCAAATATTCTATTTTTTGCCCTTTGACGTAAATCCGTTAATAAATATCTATCTGCTATACAATAAATTTCTATTGTAAAAGAAATATTCTCATCAGTGGTTTCATCCATGCCATTATTATCGTTAGTCCAATCAATTTGATTTGTGTAAAGATAGCACAACATTTTCGCGAACGAAAATGGTTTATAATCTGATATATAGATCCTATGTTTAATTTGTTGTTTTAATTTTTCTTCATTCATTTCTTCTGAATTATCCTTCAGATCAACTGATTTAACCGAATCAACGATTTCTTTATCAGTTTCTCCCTCCTTTATATTTTTTTCCACCTTTGTTTCGTTATAGATATCTTCATTTTGATTGTTAACCGTTGATTCAGCCCACATACCTGATAAAGCATTCTCAAAATATTTGGATCTTTGAATAAGTATTGAGCTACAAGCATAAAATTTTTCCCCTTGTACATTAAATTCTACATCAACTGGTTGAATATTAAATAATTGATTTTTCCATGCTGCAACAAGATTTTCCGGTAACGGATCAAGTGAAATACTATTATTATATTGTTTATTATCTCTATACTCAATATTATCAAATGTTACACAAATAATTAATTCTCCATTATAAAGTGATGTTCTTTCAAACGCTTCAGGATATCCATATCCTAAAAAGAAAAAGAAAATAAAAGAAAATAAAAACAAAAATTAATTTTTATATTAAAAAGAATAATTAATCTCACAATAATAATGATGATAATTAAAAATCTTAAAAAAAAAAAAATCACAAACCATTTTCAATCTTAGTATCAGGAGAAATAGATAATTCATTATTACTTGAAATTAAGTTATAAGTTTGAAAATTTTTGATTTCTTTAACAGATAATTTAATAGAAAATTTTGATCTTTTTCTCCAAGAAGTTTCATCAGGATTTGCTACAGGTAATATATATATTGAACAATATTCTTTATTATTCATGGGATTTCTAATTATTGGTACAAACCACAATTGCCATAACAGATTATCTCCAGTACTAAATATTGGACTGTATATATCTTCTTTTATTTCTAATGAATTTAATATATTCATTTGATAAGTTAATTGAGTTATTTTATTACTAGCCATGATTTCTTTTTTTTTAAAAAAAAAAGAAGTCTTTTATGAGAAAAAGAAATTGAAAATTAGTTAGGGTTGAAAAAAATCACCCTTATATTAATGTAATTGTTCAGGTGTAACCGGAAAATCATTTAAGCACTACGCCCAATGAATTCGTAGGCACAGTAGACGCAGTATGCTAAACACGTGTTCTTTGTATAAATCTCACTGCGTAAACTTTTAAAATTGTTTTAATTATTCGGTAAATATGAATATTGCGATCATATATAATTGTTTATAGGAGTAATTAAAGCTACAGCGCAGTGATGTGCATTTGTACTTCCAATAGTATAAAATTTTGGTTGGAAGCTTCCAATCCAAATGGTTTTATTAGAAAATTATGCTTCCATCTTTCCAAAGGTGCTTCCAATAGTGCTTCCAATCTTCCAAGAGCACATCACTGCTACAGCGCAATTAAAAGTTAATAGTACAATACATACAACTCCTCTTTTATTAATAAGAGAAAAAAAAAAGACCATGTATTAATTGTCTAAAAACTATAAGCTTTTTGAATTTTGAAATGTTCAGTCAAAATTTCTGATAAAATTACATTATAATTTGGATAATCTACTAAATTTGCCAAAATATCTTTAAATTCTTGAGAATCATTGACTTGTTCAAAATTTTTTGCCATATAATTTAAAACTGGTTCTTTTAAATCTCCATATTTTGGAACTAAATCAAACATAATTTTTGATACATTTGAGATTTTTAATTCTTCTAAAATCCTAGTTTTTGCTCGTTCTCGGAGATCTGATAAAAGATATTGATCTGCCAAACGAAATAATTCTGTGGTGATAGAATCATTATCTTTATTGGTCCATTTAATTTGATTTGTGTAAAGATATTCAAGCATTGCAGAAATTGTAATTGGATCGTATTCTGAAATTTTAATACGATGTTTTATTTGACATATTGGATTATCATCATTATCATCATTTTTCCCATCTAGATTTATATTAGGATAATTACTCTTGTTAATAAATTTAATATCGCAATTTATAGAAGGTTCATTTTGACCAAGAAATGTTGATTCGGACCAATGACCTGATAAAATTTTCGCAAAATATTCTGATCTTTTAGAAAGTATTGAACTGCAAGCGTAGAATTTTTCACCTTGTACATCAAATTCCACATCAACCGATCGAAAATCAAATAATTGTTCTTTCCATGCTTCTATAAGATTCTTTGGAATAGGTTCAGGATAATATGTTTTACGAATGTCGCTTTCATTATATTCAATATTATTAACTATAACTCCAATTATTAATTCTCCATTTCGAAGTGAAGATTTTTTAATTACGTTATGATATCCAAAATCTATATTAAAAAAAAGACATAAATTTAATGATTAAAAAAAGAAAACTAAGTGTGGGATTGTGGGAAATACCAAAATATTACCGTATCCAATAGGAGTATCAGGGGGTACAATAAAACTTTTATTATAAAGTTCAGCGGTTTTATTATTATTCCTAATTTCTTTTATAAATATTTTGAAAGATAATTTTGAACGTTCTCTCCAAGTAACTTCATCTGGACCTGCAACTGGCTGTAAAAAAAGTCCATAAGAGTCATTATCTTCATTATCTTCAAGTTGGAGTAATAATTGCCAAAACATATTATTATTTGTGCTAAAAATAGGGCTATAATAATAATCTTCTATTTCCAGCGATTTAGGTAAATTTACTTGATAGGTTAATTTTGAAATTATCTGAGACATTTTTTTTTTTTTTTTCTTTAAAAAATTTAAAAATTTTAGATTAATCCAAAAAGCTCTTTATTTATAGAAATTTGTGAGGGATCTTCGCGACTCGTCAATAGAAAGCAGATTTACATTATTTTATATATAGGGGTAATGTAACCCATTTTTGCCACAATTAATAGTCGACTGATATACACCTATAACAAATATGTGTTACACCACGTTTCAAAAGCATTTATAAATTATAACAATTAGAACGTTATATTTGAATAGTTATTTGGGTTAATTTACTAAAATTTGCTAAAATAAATTTTTAACCTGGATGAAAGTGTATAATTGATAGAAATATTAACATTATGCTTTATTTGGCATTATTTATTAATCATCATTTTATCGGAGTTTATAGAATATCGCTTTTCCAAATTTACATTAAGTAGCGATTTTGTGACAATCATTATCCCATCATTAAACATTGACATTGTTCTTCTCCTGAAGAATTTCAGACCTTAAGTAAAAATTTTTACGTCAAGATTCTTTGAAATAAGTTCAGGAAAATAATTTTATATCCAGTATCAACAATTATAGCACAACTTAAAATAAAAAATTTAGATATTTAACAATTAAAAAGTCAAATAATACATCATCCAATTTCAAGTATTGTGAAATTACAACAAAATTACTATGTATTATAAAATTTCAGCAGATTGTTTATTATTATTCACAATTTCTTTTATAACTATTTCAATAGATAACTTTGAACGTTCCCTAAAGTAATTAATTTCATTATTTCATTTGAACCCGAAACTAGTAAATAAAACTATTTTTGTGCTAAATAGGCTTATAATAATTTTTTATTTCCAATTTAGGTAAGTTTGGTTAGCCCTTAATTTTCTTATTTACAGATCCCATATAAAAAAAGATTACATATGACTAACCAAATCATATTGTTATATGCTAAATTTGTTAATCTTATTATGGGTGGCCACCAACTATCTATATATAGATATATTACAATTTCGACCTATTTTGCTTTTTGAACTTTGAAATGTTCAGCCAAAATTTCTGATAAAATTACATTATAATTTGGATAATCTACTAAATTTTCCAAAATATCTTTAAATTCTTGAGAATTATTAACTTGTTCAAAATTTTTTGCCATATAATTTAAAACTGGTTCTTTTAAATCTCCATATTTTGGAACTAAATCAAACATAATGTTTGATACATTTGAGACTTTTAATTCATCTAAAATCCTAATTTTTGCTCGTTCTCGAAGATCTGATAAAAGATATTGATCTGCCAAACGAAATAATTCTGTGGTGATAGAATCATATTCTTCATTGGTCCATTTAATTTGATTTGTGTAAAGGTATTCAAGCATGGCAGAAATTGCAATTGGATCGTATTCCGAAATTTTAATACGATGTTTTATTTGATAGTTTGATTCTTTGTCGTTATTTAATATCATTGGATCATCAACTTCATCATTATCGTAATCATCGTTACAATCTTCATTATCGCTACTTTCATCATCATCGTTACTATCAATATCGATATCATCATTGGTATCATCATCTGAAAGAATCTTTGCAAAAAATTTGGATCTTTTAGAAAGTATTGAACTACATGCATAGAATTTTTCACCCTGTACATTAAATTCTACATCAACTGATCGAAAATCAAATAATTGATCTTTCCATACTTCTATAAGATTTTTTGGTGTATGTTCAGGTATATACTTTTTATTAAAACTGCTTTCTTTATATTCAATGTCACCAATAATAACTCCAATTATCAATTCCTTATTTTGAAGTAATGATTTTTTAATTACATTTGCGTATCCATAGCCTAAATAAAAAAAAAAACTTATAAATTAAATAACATTGAAAAGAATAATTGTTATATAGAACGTTAGATATTACCGCCGCATCCAATATTAGTTTCAGGAGGTACATCAAAATTTTCTTTAAAAAGTTCAGTCGTTTGATTATTATTCTTAATTTCTTTTATAAAAATTTCAAAAGATAATTTTGAACGTTCTCTCCAAGTAATTTCATCCGGACCCGCGACTGGCTTTAAATAAAGTCCATAATATTCTTTATTTTCAAATTGAAATAATAATTGCCAAAACAATTTATTATTTGTGCTAAAAATTGGGCTATAATAACTTCCTTTTATTTCAAGAGATTTAGGTAAAGTTATTTGATAGGTTAACTGTGAAGTTGCTTGAGACATTTTTTTTTTTTTAAAAAAAAAAAAAAGAGATGATTGATCTGAAAAAAGCTTTTGTCTTATTTATAGATATTCGCACATGATTACATTCTGACGCAATCTAATATATTATGTAACTAAGCTACTTTCTTTAAATGTCGTCTAGCACTGCATATAGTATCCCTTTAAGTTAGTACATCACTTAAAATACTCGTAGATCTCTATGGGTATTTATGCGGTTTAATTTGGATTATTTGGTAAAATTCGCTAAAACATCTTTAAATATTTTTGCTCGTTCTCGATCCGAGAAGAGATATTTACCTAGAGAAATAATTTTATAATTGATAGAATACTTGATTTATATAGGCATGGACAATTGTAATTGAATCGTATTCAGTAACTTTATTATGATACTTTTTATTTGGCATTGATTTTTCATTACTATGGCCATTGTAGTCATCGATTTGTTGTCCTACAAGCATAGAACAACTTCGAAGTGATGCGTTTAAAAAAATTATGCTAACGAATAAAAAAAGTTAATCGCAATATGTACAAAGATAATTTGATCATTTTCTCTAAATAATTTCATCTGGAATCGCAATCGACTATAAATAAAGTACATAAGAGTTTTTATATTGATAATTGCCAAAGCTTTATTTAAATAAATTTACTTAATATGTCAAACTTGAAGTCGGTTGAGACAATAAACCGAAAATATTTCATTATATAGATCCGCTATAATAGAATTTGTTACATGACTAATTTCGTTTTATATAAGAATTGAATTGCAAATATAGTGTTATCTATTAGTTTAATTACCGCCATAAGACAATACAAATACGGACACTATAATATCTATATATCTATTTCTATATCTAATTTTATTCATAAAACAAACAATGAGTACTAGCATTATACATTGAATTTTTAGCTATAATTAATTAAAGCTTTCAAAAGAGGCACGGACGAAATGCTAATCAAGGATAAAAACTATTTAACTCTTTGAATTTTGAAATATTCTGCCCAAATTTCCGACAAAACCACGTTATAATTTGGATAATTTACTAAATTTGCCAAAACATTTTTAAATTCTTGAGAATTATTAATTTCTTCAAAATTTTTAGCCATAAATTTTAAAACTGGACCCTTTAAATCTTCATATCTTGAAGCCAAATTAAACATAATTTCTGATACATTAGAAAGATTTAATTCATTTAAAATCCTGATTTTAGCTCGTTCTCGAAGATCTGATAAAAGATATTGATCCGCTAATCGAAATAATCCTACAGCAATAGAATCATTATCTTTATTTGTCCATATAACTTGATTTGTGTAAAGATATTCAAGCATGGAAGAAAATGTAATTGAATCATATTCATAAATTTCAATACGATGTTTTATTTGATGTGTTGATATTTCATTATTTTTTGTTAAATTATTCTTTAATTGTATCTTTGAATCATTTGTAACGTTATCATTACCATCATTTTCATTATTATCATCATTTTCTCCTTGAACGACTGTTGATTCAGACCATTGTCCTGATAAAATTTTCGCAAAATATTCGGATCTTTTAGAAAGTATTGAGCTACATGCATAGAATTTTTCACCTTGCACATTAAATTCCACATCAGCCGGTTGATAATCAAATAATTGATCTTTCCATGCATCAATAAGATTTTTTGGAATAGATTTAGGAGAATAGGCTTTAGAAAATCCTCCTTCTTTATATTCAAGATTTTTAATTGTGACTCCAATTATCAATTCTCCATTTTGAAGTACCGATTTTTTAAATACTTTTGAACATCCAAAACCTAAATAAAAAAAAAAGAGAACCCATATATGTTTAACGAAAAAGATAATAAAAAGAAAAAAGTTAATCGTAAATATGGAATTTTAAATATTTTACCGTATATTATCTTCGTATCAGGAGGTATAACAAGGTTACTATTACAAAGTTCAGTGGTGCGATTATCTTTAATTTCTTTTATAAATATTTTATAAGATAATTTTAAACGTCCTCTCCAAGTAATTTCGTCTGGACCCGCAACTGGTTTTAAATAAAGTCCATAAGATTCATCTTCAGATTGAAATAATAGTTGCCAAAACATATTATTATATGTACTAAAAACTGGGCTATAATAATTTTCTTTTATTTCAAGTGAATTAGATAAATTTACTTGATACGTTAGTTGAGACATTTTTTTTTTTAAAAAAAAAAAAAAAAAAAGGATTTCGGGTATTAATCGGGAAAACTAAATATTTATATATGTTTATGATCATCACGTGCCAGATGTGTCTGATTTGTCGGTAAGTCTATATTGATGTAAAACAATCTAAACCTTTTATTACTATATTATTTGACTGACGCAATAACTTAGATAACAATAACTATCATATATTTAGCAAAATTCTAGAAGAAAAAATTAGTATTACCAATACTGAAATATACTAGACTAACTTAACCATATATTCCATATATTCATACTTTGCACATCCTCCGTTTCATTATCTGTTGAATTGACAATATCATCTAATTCTTTTTGACTTCCAATTTTTTTCTTATAAATATGTTGGACAGTTTTACAAAACAAAAACAGATTATCAATTGTTTTACTATAAACTAGGTAAAGGGGACCGTTGGAGCGTCCGAAACGTCGACGCGGTAGGCTAAAATGTTAAATGTTACACATTTAATTTTATGCTGATCCTGATATTTCATTATTGCAGTATTGTTGCTACATAATTGTTACCCCTGATCCTAAATTTTCATTGGTTATACATGCGGCGTGACAGACGGACATTGCATCTCGAGTCCTACGCTATTAAAAGAATTAAAAGAATTACTGAATTTAGTATCGCAATTTGGAAGTATTAGAAGCTTCAATGGAAGCTTATATCCAATGACAAGATTTGGTAGATGATCGGCAGGAACTATATGAAGTCACTTCTTTACGTCATAAAAAAGTTTCCATTATGTAATTTTATTTTATAAATTACCATAGCATGTTAATGTTCTCTTAAAACTACTGAGAATTTATTATTTGAAATGAGTTTTTACTTTCTTGCTTTATTGCTTAATATCTTAAGAATTTAAACGTCTTACTTAAATAAATAAATATATTTAAGTAAATCAGTTTATCCCATTAATTAAATTAATTGAATATGATGATTTTCGAAATCTATTTACGGATCTTTACATGATTTTGATCAAATTTATTAATGCTAAGTAATTTTCAGAATATGTATCGTTGATATTATGTCAAACTACTTACATTGTTAGTTTGTATTAACCGTTTGTGATTAAAGTCAGATTTGGCGCTTTGTTTCACATTCCACAAAAAGGATGTTATACAAGGAATAATGCAGAACTTGTAGAATAATCAACAAATAAGGAATTTTTTTCATTCACACTCGAGACATAAAACTGGCTTTATATTTCTTTCCTTTCTTTCTTCTTTACCTTACATATTTTTTGCCCTATTTGCAAATCACGTGATCAAATATTTTATTAGTGGATGATGAAAGTCTATTTTACAAGGGAAAGAAAGAATTAAGTAAATTCAAAATACATTCAATGGTAATCAAAATAGGAAAACAAAAAATATCGCTATATATACTAACATTACCGCACAAACAATATTCTATAAAAAAAAAAATGGAAGAGAATTTAGTTTACCAAGAAGATCAAAAAATTAAGTATACTCTAAGAGAATCAAAGTATTGTCCGGAATGTAATGGACCTACGTCTTTCGGTTGGTGTGTAACGTGTGAAACTAATTTTATGAAGGGAAGATTTCCTTATTGGTCATCAGGAAATAAAGATGTTGATGAATTAATCCGTCATACTCAATTAAATTCCTCACAAACTTGTGATTATTTGGAATGGATTCCATTTGAGGCATTTGATATGGTTAAATATATTGGGAGTGGTGGATTTAGTAGCATTTATTCAGCCCTTTGGATGGAAGGTCCTAGATTAGTTTGGGGTGAAGGATTGCAAGAATGGACTCGAACTGGTCCAATAAAAGTTGCTTTGAAACGACTTGATAATTCAACAAATATTACAGGTTCTTACGTTAATCAGGTAACTATAATTAAATTAATCGGCTTTATAATTTTTTTCCGAAGATAAGCAGAATAATAATATCCATATGTTCTTTTTTAAAAATTTTCTCATTCAAATTGTAGATTAAAACACATCATAAATGTATTCAGTCAGTTTCATTAGCTGAAACATTTGGTATTACAAGAGATCCAACGTCTAATTATATGATTGTTATGAAGTATTATGAAAACGGCAACTTATATCAATATCTTGATCGTTCTAACGGGATTCTTTCCTGGAAAGATATAATCGATATATTATGGGAAATAGCTGAAGGTCTTGAAAAGATTCATTCTGAAGGAAAAGTCCATAAAAATGTTCATGGAGGAAATTTACTTGTGGACGAGAAAGACGTTACAGATACTCGTGTTAGTGATGTTGGTCTCTATGGACCATGTTACTATCATGAAACAAACCAAATATATGGAGTTTTGCCATACATTGCACCAGAAATTTTACGTGGTGAAAATTACAATACCGCTTCCGATATATATTCATTTGGTATTATTATGAATATTCTTGCAGCCGGAAAAAGACCTTGGTATAATAGGGCTCATGATATTAATTTAGCAAAAGATATTTGTAATGGGGAAAGGCTCAAAATTCCGGAGGATACACCAGGTTTTTACGCAGAATTGATGCGACAATGTTGGGATAATGATCCAGTAAACCGTCCAACTGCATCTTATTTATATAAAAAATTAAATTGGATCAATTTAATTCGTGATAATCCAAATCCATTTGATGATAATTATTACGTTTCTGAAGAAAAAAGATGTAAAATTATTTCTCAATTATCTAAAACATATACTCATCCGGAAATACATCCCGAAGCATATTATACAAGTAGACTTTTGTATTTTCCTGAATTATTTAAACAAAAAAAATTTTAACTGAACGTATTTTTAATTTTTTTTTAACCATAGAATTTATCAAATAATCATTTTTGGATTTTTTTTTTAACTGTAATTATTATTTATTCTTAATAACTTATATTTCCATTATTATTATTATATAAATTAAAAATTAAAGAAATAACTACTGTTTATCTTTATGATGATCATTAGTCTCACATTCATTATTTTTATTCTTTGCGAATATTGTATAACGTTCTCTTGAGGTGATCTGCCCTGCATCACGTGATATAATTTATCTAGATTTTTTTGTTTTATGATTTGCTTCTCCCATTTCATTATCTGTTAAATTGACAAGATCATCTAATTTTTTTGGCTTCCAATTTTTTCTCATAAATATGATCCGGCAGTTTTTAAATGATTTTCAAACGAGAAAAAACAAAGTTGTAGCGATTATCGAAGATTAATTAATTGTTTTACTATAAATACAATGTGGAAGTATCAGAAGCTAGCTTCAGATAGAAGCTTCCAATCGCTATGCCCAATGACAAAAAAGAATTTTGCATCTTCCAATCCTTCAAATGGAAATCCTAGAGCGTTATTGGTAGCTTCCAAGAACATTGCTACGTGATGTTCATTATTATATTTGAAATATTATACATAGCCATGTTAATAGTACTCTCGTGACACTTATTTGAAACCGCTAAGAATTTTTTATTTGAAAAGAGTTGTTACTGTCTTGCTTAATAACCTGAGTTAAAAAGACAATTCTTGCTTAAATTTAATGTTAGAAGTTACGGTAAATAAAGAAATAAAAATCGGTTTAAACGGTTAAAATAACGATTATTATATTTAAATAAACTAGATTGTCATATAATTGAATAAATTGAAATATTGATGAATAAGTCATATACATGATTTTGATCTATTAATACTAATAATTTTACGGGACAAACTAAAATCAGTTTAGGGCTAATTCTGTGGTACAAACAAATATCATTTCAGGGGTATTTATTGACGCAAACAAACGTTAATTGTTTGGACATGTTCCTTAAAAGGAAGTGAGTAAAAGGAAATTATATATTCGATTTACTGTAAGATTTTGCGGTAATTTTGTAAGAACTTATCTTTTTTCCATTTTTTACGTACGTGATCAATTATTATGCATTTTCTAATAATAAATCAAGGAAAAGAATTAATTAAATAAGTTAATAATAATTTATTCATGAGAACTAAAGAGGATATATTTTAGGGATGTTAAAAATGCTCATGTCGAGCAATTTAAACAGAGTTTAAGTTAAAACCCGAACAAACATGCTTAAAGTATCTCATCTATAACTGAAAATTGTAGAAACACTTCAAGAAATTATTTCAAGAAACATCTTAGATGTATGTCTTTAATTAGTGAAAATCATATGCCTAATGTTTTTGAAGAATATTTATCATCCGTCATAAAAGATTGTGACGTACTAGATTTCTGGAAAGCACAATCATCCGATGCGCGTTACGCTAGGCTTACACAAATGGCACGGGATTATTTGTTACAACTTGCAAGCAATCAGTGTATCTAGTGAGCAGATATTTTCAATAGCTAAACATACCATTAGTCCAATACGTAACCGATTATCAGAAGAAATTATTCGTGCAAGTCTTTGTCTAAAGACATGTATGATATAAAGCAGATATTATTGATATTGTAGAAATACTAAATAAATAAATTAAAACGAATAAATTTATAAAATTATATAATTATATATTAAATCGCAAATAACAATAAAAATATAGACAATTAATTATATTAATTATCAAATAATATATAAAGGAAAATATTTACAATTTAAACCATGGTATTTTTTAAAAATTTGAAGCATTCACAGTTTGAACAAAAATTTATCTATTAATTAAACTAGCTTGAGCAAAGCAAGTAAAGTATGTTTACCGATGCATTCTTAAAAAACAAGTTAAACAAACCGGTTTGTTGTAAACTGGTTTTAAATAAACCGTGGTTGACAGGATTTGGGACCTAAACCGAACTGCTTGAGCAAATTAACATTCCTAATATATTTTAGAAAGAAAAGTCATAAAAAGCCCACTTTTTACAAGCAAAATAAAATAACGCTATCACTAAACAATACTCTATAAAAGGAAATAAAAATGGAAGAGAATTTAGAAGATCAAGAAATTAAATTTACTCCAGAAAAATCAAAATTTTGTCCGGAATGTAATGGACCTACTACGTCTTTCGGTTGGTGTGCGACATGTGAAACTAAATTTATTTCCTTACTGATCATCAGGAAATAAAGACATTGATGAATTAATCCACCATACTCAATTACAGTACATGCTTGTGATTATTTCCATTTGAGGCATTTGAAATGGTTAAATATATTGGAAGTGATGGATTTAATGGCATTTATTCAGCTTTTTGGATGGAAGGTCCCAGATTGAATTGGGATGAAGGAAGGATTGCCGAACCGGTCCAATCAAAGACGCCCCTTTTTTACTGGATCATCATTTCATCATGTGATATGATATGCAAATTTAAAGTGTCAATCCTGGCTAAGCCACTTGCAGAGTTTGAAGTCCACGTCTTCGACTTAACTATAGGGACGTCCGTAAATTTCCAGCTAATTCAAATTTTAATGATTTATTTTTGAACCATTTTGACCAAAAATAAGTTAATTTTGGTTCTTATTTAGTTTTTAAACCTTTACTTAGTTTAGTTTAGCTTTTTTTATTTTTTTTTTCTTTTATATTTGCAGTTTTATGCATATATCCCATAGTGTGAGCTTTTAAAATAATTAATTCCCTTAGCCAAAAGAGTTACTGCATACTGTTTTTTTTTGCTCATTAAAAAAGTTTGTATAATAAAGAACACGAAATTCCAAAAAATATTTTTTTTATTAATAACGAAGCCCGTAAATTGCAGATCATTTTCTCTTGTTACTTAAATATAATAAGTTCTTACGTTGACCAGGTAAATATAATTAAATTAAACGGTTTGCAATTTTTTTTCCAAAGATAAGCACAATTATACTATCCATACGTTCTCTTAAAATTTACTTATCCAAATTATAGTGTATTCAGTCAGCTTCAGACGTCTAATTATATGATTGTTATTAAGTGCTGTTGGTGATGAGGAATAAGACGTGAAATGATAATAAATGTTACAAGATCAAGGCGGGGCTGGAAAAACTTAGGAGTCGTCGGGCTGATAGTGGGTGGCGCTGCTAGCGCCTCACCCACCTCGGCCTAACGGCCTCGCAGTACCTACATCGCCCCTAGTGTTATGAAAACGGCAACTTGTACCAATATCTTGATCGTACTAACGGGACTCTTTCCCGGAAAGATATAATCGATATATTGTGGAGAATAGTTGAAGGTCTTGAAAAGATTCATTCTGAAGGAAAAGTCCGCAAAAATGTTCATAGAGGAAATTTACTTGTGGATGAGAAAGACGTTACAGATACTCGTAGTGATGTTGGTATTTGTGGACCACGTTATTATCATGAAACAAATCAAATATATGGAGTTTTACCGTGCATTGCACCAGAAGTTTTACGTGGCGAAAATGGCGAAAATTATACTGCTGCTTCTGATATTCATTTGGCATTATCATGAATACTTTCATAACCGGAAAAAGGCCTTGGTATAATAGAGCTCATGATAATAATTTAGCAAAGACATTTGTAATAATGAAAGGCTTGAAATTCCAGAGGATGTGCCAAGCTTTTACACTGCTTTTACGCAGGATTAATGTGGGACAATGAACCAGAAAAACTCTCAACTGCATCTTATTTAAATGAAAAAATGAGGGAATGGATCAATTTAATTTGTGATGATCCAAATCCATTTGATATTACATTTCTGAAGAAAAGGTGTAAAACAATTTCTTAATAACTTAATACGTAGAGAAGCATATTATGAATTATTCAAACAAAAAAAATTTTGGCTGAACGTATTTTCAATTTTTTATTTAGTTTTTAACCATAGAATTTATCAAATAATCAATTTTGGAACTTTCTTCAGAATTATTTTAACTACAATTATTATTTATTCTGATAAATATTTATATTTCCTTTTTTACTATAAAATTAAAATTAAAGAAATGACTGCTGTTCATGATAATCATTAGTCTTATAAGTAATGTGAATTACGTGATATATATTTTCATCCAATGATATTTAAGATATTATTCTGCAAAGATTTTAAATAATTCCAGCGTCATTATCAACTATTTTATGTTTATGATTTGCTTCTTCTATTTTTAAATTACAATATCATCCATCTAGTTCTTTAATTTTTTCTCATAAATATGGACAGTTTTTCAAATGATTTTCAAATGATGAGAAAAACAAAATTATAGAAGATAATTAATTTGGAAAAATGTGAATAAAAATTTCTTTCAATGAAATTACCAAATTAGTTAGTAATGGAAGTATTGGAAGCCTCAAATGGAAACTTCGATGGAAACTTATGTCCAATGATATTAATTGATCGGCGTGACGGTGTCTCCCATAGAACTTCTAGAATGTTTAGAATGTTCATTAGAATCTTCCATTCTACATTTAGATCAATACTGAAACTGCTAAGAATTTTTTATTAGAAAAGAGTTTAAAGAGTTTAAAGAATTTATACTTTCTTGCTTAATATCTTTGGGTTAAGAAGACAATTCTTGCTTAAAATTTAATGTTAGAAGATACAACATTAAAAATCATTTTAGCTTTCTATTACATTTAATGATTAAGTAAACAGTTTATCATACAATTGAATAAATTGAATACGGACCAATCGGTGAAAACTAAATTAAAAAACCCTTTTTTTCTTTCTATTTATGGATCTTTACATTGCTTTGATTAAAGCTTATTAATCAATGCTATTTAATTTTACAAATATTTAATACATTGTAAATATGATTTTGCATTATTTGTATTATTAATAAGGTTTTGTTATTGCGTAATTATAATAATATAAATATATAAAAGGCACATTATGCAAAACTTTAAAAACTTTATTCTTTCAAGAGGAATTTATAATTTTTTTTTTTATATAAAAAGATTTAACACAATCAATTCGAGATATAAAAAATTATTATTTCAACAAAAAATTAGAATTTGGAGCGTGGACCTGAGAACCGATTAATTCTCTAGAGTCAATTTTTTTGAAAAAGTCATAACGATTCGTAAAAACTTCTGTATTTACGTTTTTTTAAATAATGAAGAACATTATTCTCAACAAAATTCGAATTAACTATTAAGGAATCAACTTCATGAATGCTTTGAATTAGGAAAGTCAGATTACAACATATATTTCAGAACTTTCAGTCGTTCATTAAATATTTTTAGCTTTTACAAAGAGATTAGATTTTTGGCGCTCATAATTTTAGCATCATTGATTTATAACTTTTACTTTGTTTGATGATTAGAGTAATATTTATAAATTTTAATACTATTGGTTACATTATTTATAAATTCAAAAAAGAAAGAAATAGAATATAAATAGTAGCTATTACAATCTATTAAACCATAAAGAGACCTATGATGAATTGATGATGTCAAAATGCGATGATGATGAGGCAAACATTCACAATATCGTAATTAATTTTTTTTTATAAGATATTCAAAGAATGTGTATTCTTGCGAGAAAATTCGTGAATTGATAATTGAAAATTTAACTTTCTTTCAATTTCAAAGATAATAAAAAATAGAAATTTAGCATTGTCTAATAATAATAAACAAATAATTATGCAGAATACACATCTTCGATTTTATGTCAAACTACTTGCATTGTTTAGTATTTAAACCGTTTTTGATTAAAGTCCAAGTTTAGTGAAATATCAAATAGTCATTCAGTTGGCGCTTTGTGTCACATTCCATAAACGGATGTGAGGATGTGATACAAGAAAAAGCCCAAATGAGAAAATTTTTCTTTCATACTTCGACATAAAACTGGCTTTATATTTATTTCCTTTCCTTTTCTTCTTTAATCTTTCATATTTTTTGCCTATTTGCAAATCACGTGATCAAATATTTTATTAGTGGATGATGAAAGTCCATTTTGCAAGGGAAAGAAAGAATTAAGTAAGTTCAATAATACATTCAATGGTAATCAAAATAGGATTGATTTATCTTTAAAAAAAAACAATAAAAGACGCACTTTTTACAAGCAAAATATGATTTTAAAAATATCGCTATCATATACTAACATTAATATTCTATAAAAGAGAATAAAAAAAAATGTTAGAGAATTTAGAGAATTTAGTTAATCAAGAAGATCAAGAAGATCAAGAAATTAAATACACTCCAAGAGAATCAAAGTACTGTCCGGAGTGTAATGGACCTACTACGTCTTTCGGTTGGTGTGTAACGTGTGAAACTAATTTTATGAAGGGAAGATTTCCTTATTGGTCATCAGGAAATAAAGATATTGATGAATTAATCCGTCATACTCAATTAAATTCTTCACAAACGTGTGATTATTTGGAATGGATTCCATTTGAGGCATTTGAAATGGTTAAATATATTGGGAGTGGTGGATCTAGCAGTGTCTATTCAGCTCTTTGGATGGAAGGTCCTAGATTAGTTTGGGATGAAGGATTGCAAGAATGGACTCGAACTGGTCCAATCAAAGTTGCTTTGAAACGTCTTGATAATTCAATAAATATTACAAGTTCTTACGTTGATCAGGTAACTATGATTAAATTAATCGACTTTATAATTTTTTCTCAAAGATAAACACAATTATACTTAGATTTACTCATCTAAATTATAGATTAAAGCGAATCATAAATGTATTCAATCAGCTTCATTGGCTGAAACATTTGGAATTACAAGAGATCCTACGTCTAATTATATGATTGTTATGAAGTATTATGAAAATGGCAATTTGTACCAATATCTTGATCGTTCTAACGGGATTCTTTCCTGGAAAGATATAATCGACATATTATGGGGAATAGCTGAAGGTCTTGAAAAAATTCATTCTGAAGGAAAAGTCCATAAAAACGTTCATGGAGGAAATTTACTTGTGGATGAGAAAGTCGTTACAGATACTCGTGTTAGTGATGTTGGTCTTTATGGACCATGTTACTATGAAACAAACCAAATATATGGAGTTTTGCCATACATTGCACCAGAAGTTTTGCGTGGCGAAAATTATACTGCTGCTTCTGATATATATTCGTTTGGCATTATCATGAGTACTTTTGCAACCGGAAAAAGACCTTGGTATAATAGAGCTCATGATATTTATTTAGCAAGAGATATTTGTAATGGTGAAAGGCTTGAAATTCCAGAGGATACACCAAGCTTTTACGCAGAATTAATGCAACGATGTTGGGATAATGATCCAGCAAAACGTCCTAATGCATCTTATTTAAATGAAAAAATGGGAGAATGGATCACTTTAATTTGTGATAATCCCAATCCATCAGAAATTTTCGACGAATACAATATTTCTGAAGATAAAAGATGGAAAATAATTTCACATTTACCTAAAAATTATGTTCATCCAGAAATACACCCTGAAGCATTCTATGTTAGTAGACCTTTGCGTTTTCTGAACTATATAACCTAACTCTTTGCGCAAATGTACATATAGTTCTTGACCCTTTTAATACATCTGATTTTCTCACAATTTATTGAATTTACGTTATAATTGTTGATGATGAATCGAGAAGATGGGTTAAAGAAATATTGCATTTGTCTTTCTTGCACTTTCGTTGTTTGATTTTTTTTCTTTAGATTAAATTTTTATTTTATTATTATTATTATGCAATTAACAAAAATATGATTTTGTGAATTAAAATTATTTATTCAACTTTATGTTATTACATTTTTTATTTTATTTGTTATTGATATTCTATTATTATGATTAAGAACTTATAATACGTTTTTAAAGATTACGCAGGAATGCAGAAATTTTATAGGCTATGTGAAATTATTTTTCTTAAAAAAGAAAAATTGACAAATTATGAAATTTTTATAATATTATGTAAATTATATAAAATACTATAAATGCAATAAATCGTTATTTATTAAATTTAAAAAAATATTAGACATATTTAGATGAAGGAAATTTTTGATTGGTTGAGATACTAAATATTTATTGCATATAATGATATATGATATATTGTATTTGCATAGTTATTTGTTCCAATTGCTTTCTCGGCGTTTTGTGATATCATTTAGATTGTTTGAAGTTGAATACTATTGGAAGGAACCAATCTTGATTGGAATCAAAGTAATGAAGAATGTTAAACCGATAGTACTCTTGATTGCTGATTCTCGTAGTAAATGAATTCGGGCATCGTTTTTTAATAATGACACGATAGCGGTGACAACAAAGCTGATGATTATTATTGCATCCAAAATATCAATACGCCTTTTAAATATAAAATCCATAAATAACAGCAAGAAATGGTGGAACACCTGATACACAAGTGTCCGGATTTCTGATATATAGTAAATTCTCTAAGGAAATAGAGGATAAATGGTAAAAAACGATCTCAATTAATCCTTTTCTAAGATCATTAAAGTTTCTTCTTAAATCAGTTTTTGATTTGGCGATTAATATTCTGTTAATGAAAGGATTGAATATTTATTTTAAATGATTGATTTTTTTATTTCGTGTTATTAATTTCATTAAGAATTTTTTCCTTTATCTAGATACCAAAACAAGATCAGAACAGTATTTTCCATTCATATTCTTAAAAAGGAAGTGATAAAAGGAAAAATATGCAGATCGTTCTAAAATGATCGACAAATCACAAATGACATTCAAATTTAGCTTTTATTTTTTAATTGAAATTCACGTGATCAAATTTTGTGCGTTCGTCTATTGTATGCGCAAAGTGCATTTCATTAATAAAATTCACATGCACAACCTACTAATTTCATATGCGCTTTATACATTAGATGAAAGGGCTTGAAAGGCGCTACTAAGAAAAATGCCGCCTAATATTTTCAATGAAATACGCGGGAAATGAAAGTAATGATCGCTGCGCCTACTGCGCGAATCCAATTTACATCACTGAATTTTATTTATGATGTGAAATTCATTTCATGAGGGAAATAAAGAATTAGGTTTAATAATTCATGGTAATTAAAGAGGATATATTTTATAAAAAGCCATAAAAAGACCAGCGAAGTATGATTAAAAAATATCGTTATCACTAACACTATATCGCACAAACATCATTATATAAAAAATGGAAGAAAATTCACTACCTTATAAAGAAGATCAGAAATAGATCGGTTGGTGTATAAAGTGTGAAACTAATTTTATGAAGAGAAAATTTCTTTATTGGTCATTAGGAATTAAAAGATATTGATGAATTAATTCGTCATACTCAATTACATGCCCACAAGTCCTAAAGCATCTTAATCCTTTAGAAATTTTCGAATATGAGTATTGGTTGATTTCACTTTATTTACCTAAAGATTATATCCAGAAATACATCCCGACGACGAATTGGCGAATATATATCATCAAGCGAATATGAAGAACAGTTCAGATTTATTGTTTAACATTAATTGAATTGGGGAGATGAATAAAGTTCGCGCCGAACTTTTCTTTGTATTATGAAGCATCCTGTATTAGCAGACCTTTGCGTTTTCTGAACTACAATATAACTTACATGTGGAAAATTCATAAAGACATAAATAGTACAATAATCATTTGTTAATTGTATGATAAAAAGTATTTACCAAATTTATTATTTATAAATAATATTTGAATTTTTAAAAAAAAATAAAAAGATGAAAATGAAAAATTTCAAAAATGATTATTTTAAAATTTTTTTGGTTAGTGATCATTTTTTGAATAATTCAGGAAAAATCAAAAGTCTACTTGTATAATATGCTTCGGGATGTATTTTCGGATGAGTATATGATTTAGGTAATTGAGATATTATTTTATATCTTTTTTCTTCAGAAATGTAATAATAATCATCAAATAGATTTGAATTATCACAAATTAAATTAATCCAATTTAATTTTTTATATAAATCAGATGCAGTTGGACGGTTACCTGGTTCATTGTCCCAACATTGTCGCATTAATTTCGCATAAAAACTTGGTGTATCCTCCGGAATTTCGAGTCTTTCCCCATCACAGATATCTTTTGCTAAACTAATATTATGAGCTCTATTATACCAAGGCCTTTTTCCAGTTGCAAGAATGTTCATAATAATACCAAATGAATAAATATCGGAGGCAGCACTATAAGATTCTCCATGTAAAACTTCCGGTGCAATATATGGTAAAACTCCATAAATTTGATTGAAACCTCTATTTTCAAGATAACAGCTTGGACCATAAAGGCCCACGTCACCAATACGAGCATCTATAAGAATTATTTCATTTCCAATAAATAAATTTCCTCCATGAAGATTTTTATGAAATTTTCCTTTAATGTGAATTTTTTCAAGACTTTTAGCGATTCCCCGTAACATATCGATTATATCTTTCCAAGAAAGAATCCAATTGTGACGATCAAGGTATTTGTACAAATTTCCAGTTTCATAATATTTCATAACTATCATGTAATTAGATGTTGAATCTTTTGTAATTCCAAATGTTTCAACAAATGAAGCCAATTGTATACACTCATGATGTACTTTAATCTATTAGAAATATGGAAAAAAGATAAATAAATAACGACTGAATGATAGCTCAATTTGGTTTGCTAAAAAGAATATGATTAGAAGGAATTACCTGATCAACGTAAGAACTCAATATATTTAATGAATTATCGAGACGTTTTAAAGCAACAGAAGTAGGACCAGCTCGAGCCCATTCTTGCGTACTATCATCCAAATTCCACCTAGGACCTTCCATCCAAACGGCTGAATAAATACTACTAAATCCTCCACTCCCAATATACTTACCCATTACAAGTGTTTCAAATGGAATCCACTCCAAGTAATTACAAGCTTGAGAGGCATTTAGTTGAGTATGTTGGATTAGCTCATCAATCTCTCTATTTTCCGATGTCCAATAAGGAAATTTTCCCTTCATAAAATTAGTTTCACACGTCATACACCAACTGAAGGATGTAGGACGATCACATTCCGGACAATTCTTTAATTCCATTTTATTTTCTTTTTAACATATAATAATAATATTGTTTAGTGATATTAAATTAACTGGATTAAATGATAAATAGTATAGTTTATTTTACCTTAATATTAACTCAATTTGATACCACCTTTACCAGGATTTTAAGTTAATTGTAAATACCAATAGTTTTTATACAATGTTAATGATAGTAAAGAAATAAACCGCAAAATTATATATATAATTAAACTATTATACAGTTATTTAATCAATATTGATATTATGTTTACATGTTAAACCTTCAGTTTAGAACCATGGTTTTGTATTAGTAGTGATAGGGTTTTTTTATGCCTTTTAAATATTTTTAGATTTTATTAATCCTGATAAATTAAAATTAATAAGTTTACGAATATCGTAATTAATAATGACAAATTTAAAATGGAAATAAGAGAATGAAAATATCATTTTGTTGATCATCTATTAATCCATTATGTTCCGCATAATTTTTGATAAACATTTCCTTTTTATGAAATGTGAACGATGTGAGCAAATGATATCATCCCTAATTCAATCACAAACGGTTAATACAAGTCTTTATTAATAGTATTATTAAAAGTAGTTATACTACACATATCTGATATCGGGCCAATTGGGGAAATTGGGCCTTAATTATTCATTCCCTCAAAATTATTGATGTAAGATGATCTGGTCGACTAAAAACTAAAAATACCATACAACTAACTAATTTTATTATATAATCAAGCAGGGTTTAAAAATAAACACTATTATAATGAGTATAAGCACATGGTTTTAACTTTAATCATAATTTATTTGCTGTTATTGAAGTCAATGATTTATATGTCTCTTTAATTGACATATTGAGAAAGTATTAAATAAATTGAGAAAAGAGAATTTTTAGGACATATAGTTGGAAATGATGGTTTAAGACCCGATGAAAAGATTAGAAAAATAAAAATACCAGAGAATATAAGGACTTTCTATATTAGCACTTATGATTGATAATACTTGTCCTAAGTTACATTTATGAGCCAACATTTACACAATTATCGTGATTATATTTTTACCTATCTAAGAAAAAGGACAACGATGATCATTTCCCTTTTATTGTCCGGGAATTATCCAGGCTACATCAAAATACCGGAAATATCCAGTCATAGGATGTCATGATTTGATCACTACTTAATTTGAATTCTGTAAATTTACTAATAAGGTACTCTGATACACATAATGAAGGACCCTTTTGCTTTTAAGGGTAAATTTATGATGATCTGAGAGAATCCATAAATATAGAAGTTTTGAAGTTTTTCCGGAATCATTCTTTAAGAAAGAAAAAAAAAAAAATGTCTCAAAAAATTTCAAGGTTAAACTATCAAATCAGTATAACTAATTCTTCTGAATTAAAAGAAAAATTTTTCAGTCCTAATTTTTGTTCAAATAATAATTTATATTGGAAATTATGTGTTAAACCAACGGCTGACGAAGAATCTTATGGCGTATTTATTATTCCGGTTCCAGGTCCAGATGAAATCAACTGGAGAAATCGTTCAAAATTATTTATAAAATTATATGCAAAAGAAATCAGTGGTCAAACATATAATCTCTATAACAATGCATTTCATGTCCCAGCTGATACAAGTATCACGAAAGGTAATAATTTTTTAAAATATTATTTATCGATTATTTGAAAAAAAAAAATAATAATATTTATACTGTATTTACTGTATTTATATTCAAAATTTATTTATTTAGCTTATGGATGCGCAGAAGCATTTGAAAAATCATCATTACGAAATGGAATATTGCTCATTGGCGTGACATTTGAAAATTTTGAAAATGAAGGGCTTACTCATTATAATAACAATAATGATGATAACGTTCCACTCGATTATCTTCCAAAAAACCTTGTAAATGCATGGAAAGATCATTTATATAATTTTCAACCAGTTGATATAGAATTTATTGTGAAAGACAAGACTTTTTATGCTTGTAGCTCGATAATTTCTAAAAGATCCAGTTATTTTGCAAATGTTTTATCTGGTAACTGGGCTGAATCAACCAATAATAATATTAAAATTGAAACTGATGAGATTTTGTTACCATTATCTGATAATGTTTTATCAACTAAGATTGAGAAATCAAATTATCAAATTAAACATCGAATCGAAATAACGGATTTTACACCTGATATATTTGCAATAATGTTAGAATATCTTTACACGAATCAAATTAATTGGATTAACAAAGATGACAAATCTATTACTATAGGATTATTCTGTTTAGCAGATAGATATCTTTTATCAGATCTTCGTGAACGAGCAAAAATGAGAATCTTTAGCGAATTAAATCTTACTAATGTATCGGAAATTATGTTTGGTTTGGTTCCAAAATACGAAGATTTAAAAGATCCTATTTTACATTTTATGATTAAAAATTTCGAACAAATTAGTGAAACTCAAGGATTTAAAAATATTTTATCAAAATCATCTGATTATTATAAATTTAATGATATAATGTCGGAATTATTATCCGAATATTTCAAATTTCAAAAAGGTTCAAATCGTAAAACTAATAATGTTAAAGTTCAGTCAGAGTTAAATATTTAATTCTATGTATGTAAATGAATGGCAAAATTCAATTATTACCTTGAAAGGGAGTTTAAATCAAAATCATTTTTTTTTTATTATTTTGTATATGAGATTTAAAAGAATTTAAAATTTTTAATAACAATTATTACATTTCTTCAGTAGATATCCTTTGATTTTTTTACAAACTTTTTTCTTTTTTTTTTAATGACTTAATCTTTAAAAATTTTATTAATTTTTATTTCTTCCACTATGTAAAGGCCACAATAAACTAAAGAATTTGATTTACTACATGCCAAAAGAAATTTTAGAAATAATACAAATGACAAGTGATAAAAAGTATACATGTGTAGTTGATACAGGTGCGCCAGAAACGAATCTATTTGTAATAATATTAAGCAAATGGAAAATACGAATATAGTGCAAATTCCTACATATTAGGTACAGATAATAAAATTTTAATTTAATTTATTTTATTCTATAATAATTTTATCTATTTCATTATTTTTAATGATTTAAGGTATATTAAATACTAGTTTAAAGTTTTTAATAGATTAGGTCTTATATGGATAGTTAAAATTTTGCAATTATTCATCTTTACAATTATTCTTATTTTACAAAAAAAGATATGTTTTAAAAATATAATTTAAATAATTTGAAAAGAAGAAATATAAAACTATTATATAGTATTTTAAAAATTTAGTAACTCTTTATTTTACTTTAATAGTATTTATAAAAATAATTAAATTATTTTTTTATTATTAAAAAAAATTATAAATAATATTTTACTTAAAAAAAAATAATTAAAAAAAAGGCCATTACATGAGGCATTTGATAGAAGCATTTGATAGAGTTTCTTGGCATAATATAGTATAAAATCAACATCTATTAATTGGATATAGTATTTATATTGACTATGCCCAACTTATTAATTTTGTTTTTAATGGGTGGAAAATAGAAGTATATCCAGTCATCATTGGATCTTTTACATATTTGAATGATATATTTCAACAATATTCTCAAATATTTAACAGAAGATAATCTACTATAAAAAAAAATAAAAAAAATATTATAAACTAAATATCTAATTATAATCTTTAAAAAATACAATAATTTTTAAATTTTATATAAAATTTTAATATATTTTATTTTATTCTATAATGATTTTATCTATTTCATTATTTTAATGATTTAAGGTATGTTAAATACTAATTTAAAATTTTTAATAGATTAGATCTTATATAGATAGTTTAAATTTTACAATTATTCATATCTACAAATTATTCTTATTTTACAAAAAAAAGATATATTTTAAAAATATATTTATATAATTTGAAAAGAAGAAATATAAAAAGTTAAAAACTATTATATAGTATTTTAAAAATTTAGTAATTCTTAAATAATATTTTACTTATTAAAAAAAAAGCCATTACATGAAGCATTTGATAGAGTTTTCTGATATAATATAGTATAGAATTAATATCTATCAATTGGATATGATGTTTATATTGACTATAGCCAACTTATTAATTTTGTTTTTAATGGCTGGAAAATGGGAGATAATCTAATTATCATTGGATCTTTCCATATTTGAATGATATATTTTAACAATATTCTTAAATATTTAATAGAAGATGATAATCTACTATAAAAAAACAAAAAAAATATTATAAACTAAATATCTAATTATAATCTTTATAAAATATAATAATTTTTAAATTTTATATAAAATTTTAATATATTTTATTTTATTTTATAATAATTTTATCTATTTCATTATTTTAATAATTTAAAGTATATTAAATACCAATTTAAAGTTTTTAATAGATTAGGTCTTATATGAATAGTTAAAATTTTGCAATTATTCATCTTTACAATTATTCTTATTTTACAAAAAAAAATATATTTTAAAAATATAATTTAAATAATTTGTAAAAAAAGAAATATAAAAAATTAAAAACTATTATATAGTATTTTAAAAATTTAGTAACTTTTTAATATAAATATTTTACTTTAATAATAGTATTTATAAAAATAATTAAATTATTTTTTTTTTTATTAAAAAAAAATTATAAATAATATTTTACTCATTAAAAAAAGGCCATTATATGAGGCATTTAATAGAGTTTTCTAGCATGATATAGTATAGAATCAATAGGATATAGTATTTATATTAACCATGGTCAACTTATTAATTTTGTTTTTAATAGATAGAAAATAGGAAATGATCCAGTCATCATTGGATCTTTCCATATTTGGATGATATATTTCAATAATATTCTTAATTAAATATTTAATAGAAGATGATAATCTACTATAAAAAAAATAAAAAAAATATTATAAACTAGATATCTAATTATAATTTTTAAAAAATACAATAATTTTAAATTTTATATAAATTTTAATATATTTTATTTTATTCTATAAT